AAAAACAGAGTAGGGGATTTAGTAGATGGGGAGATGGGGATTTTGGGAAGATGGTGAGAATATTTTGAGGAACTTTTAAATGTCGATGAAGAAAGGGAGGCGGTAATTTCATGCACTGGCCAGGGAGGTATACCATCTTTTAGGAGTGAAAAAGAACAGGATGTGAGTGTGGAGGAGGTGCGTGAGGCATTACGTAGAATGAAAGGGGGTAAAGCAGCTGGAACTGATGGGATCGTGACAGAAATGTTAAAAGCAGGGGACTACATAGTGTTGGAGTGGTTGGTATTTTTGTTTAATAAATGTATGAAAGAGGGGAAGGTACCTAGGGATTGGCAGAGAGCGTGTATAGTCCCTTTATATAAAGGGAAGAGGGACAAAAGAGACTGTAAAAATTATAGAAGAATAAGTTTACTGAGTATACCACGAAAAGTGTACGGTAGGGTTATTATTGAAAGAATTAGAGGTAAGACAGAATGTAGAACTGCGGATGAACAAGAAGGTTTTAGAGTGGGTAGGGGATGTGTAGATCAAATATTTACATTGAAGCATATATGTGAGTAGTATTTAGATAAAGATAGGGAAGTTTTTATTGCACTTATCCATTTAGAAAAGGCATATGATAGTGTATAGGGAAACAATGTGGCAGATGTTGCAAGTATATGGAATAGGTGATAAGTTACTGAATGCTGTAAAGAGTTTTTATGAGGATAGTGAGGCTCAGGTTAGAGTGTGTAGAAGAGAGGGAGATTACTTCACGGTAAAAGTAGGTCTTAGACAGGGATGTGTAATGTCACCATGGTTGTTTAATATATTTAGCTGGGACTGTAAAAGAAGTAAATGCTAGGGTGCTCGGGAGAGGGGTGGGATTAAATTATGAGGAATTAAATACAAAATGGGAATTGACACAGTTACTTTTTGCTGATGATACTGTGTTTATGGGAGATTCTAAAGAAAAATTGCAAAGGTTAGTGTACGAATTTAGGAGTGTGTGTAAAGGTAGAAAGTTGAAAGTGAACATAGAAAAGAGTAAGGTGATGAGGGTATCAAATGATTTAGATAAAAATAAATTGGATATCAAATTGAGGAGGAGGAGCATGGAAGAAGTAAATGTTTTCAGATATTGGGGAGTTGACGTGTCAGCGGATGGATTTATGAAGGATGAGGTTAATCATAGAACTGTTGAAAGAAAAAAGATGAGTGGTGCGTTGAGGTATATGTGGAGTCAAAAAACGTTATCTATGGAGGCAAAGAAGGGAATGTATGAAAGTATAGTAGTACCAACACTCTTATATGGATGTGAAGCTTGGGTGGTAAATGCTGCAGCAAGGAGGCGGTTGGAGGCAGTGTAGATGTCCTGTCTAAGAGCAATGTGTGGTGTAAATATTATGCAGAAAATTCGGAGTGTGGAAATTAGGAGAAGGTGTGGAGTTAATAAAGGTATTAGTCAGAGGGCTGAAGAGGGGTTGTTGAGGTGGTTTGGTCATTTAGAGAGAATGGATCAAAGTAGAATGACATGGAAAGCATATAAATCTATAGGGGAAGGAAAGAGGGGTAGGGGTCGTCCTCGAAAAGGTTGGAGGGAGGGGGGTAAAGGAGGTGTTGTGGGCGAGGGGTTTGTACTTCCAGCAAGCGTGCGTGAGCGTGTTAGATAGAAGTGAATGGAAACGAATGGTATTTGGGACCTGACTATCTGTTGGAGTGTGAGCAGGGTAATATTTAGTGAAGGGATCCAGGGAAACCGGTTATTTTATTAACCAGACTTGAGTCCTGGAAATGGGAAGTACAATGCCTGCACTCTAAAGGAGGGGTTTGGGATATTGGCAGTTTGGAAAGATATATTGTATATTTTTATACGTATATACTTCTAAACTGTTGTATTCTGGGCACCTCTGCAAAAACAGTGATCATGTGTGAGTGAGGTGAAAGTGTTGAATGATGAAAGTATTTTCTTTTTGGGGGATTTTCTTTCTTTTTGGGTCACCCTGCCTCGGTGGGAGACTGCCGACTTGTTGAAATAAATAAATATATATATATATATATATATATATATATATATATATATATATATATATATATATATATATATATATATATATATATATATATATATATATATATCGTGCCGAATATGTAAAACTTGTCAATTAGCAAGAACTCGTTTAAAATTAAGTCCTTTCTAAAATTTTCTCTTGTACGTTTAAAGATATATTTTTTTCATTAATGTTATTGTAAAAAAATGTAATTTTGCACCAAAAGAATCTTAGAAAACTTACCTAACCTTATTAGGGCAAGAACAATTTATTTTAGCCTAACCCAACTAAATATATTTTAGATTTGTTTACAATAACTAAACAAACACAGTGAAATATATATTTTTCGTTAGGCTCAGAATGAATTTGGTGAAATTATTGCATACACAAATTTTCACTTGTCCTATATGGCAAGATGAGTGTTGCTATTTAAGCCAAGATATATATATATATATAATATATATATATATATATATATATATATATATATATATATATATATATATATATATATATATATATTTCCAGCAGGACCTGCAGGAGGTTACACTGGAATTCGACCTCAGCACCTCAAAGAGATGGCAAATCCAGTACTCGGTGAATCTGCATCAATTCTTCTCACCGAGTTAACAACTTTAGCCAACAATTGCCTGGCTGGGCGAATCTCAGAAGAAATTAAACCTTTCTTTTTTGGAGCCTCACTATGTGCTTTGAAGAAGAGGGATGGGGGAATCAGACCCATTGCAGTTGGAAACACTATTCGCCGTCTCGTTGCCAAAGCAGCAGTGAGAAACATTCGCCTAGAAACTGCCACTTTACTCCAGCCACACCAACTGGACTTTGGGGTCTCTCAAGGCAGTGAAACCGCAGCTCATGCCGCAAGGGCCTACATCAAGGACCTACCAGAAGACAAGGCCATAGTCAATCTTGATTTTAGAAATGCCTTTAATATGGTGAAGAGAGATGCTGTTTTGCCAGCTGTTCGGGATCGGTTCCCCAGTCTTTTTCCCTTCATTTCAGCCGGCTACAGCAAACCCTCAATTCTTTTGTTTGGAGAACATAAAATTCAATCATCAGAGGGTGTTCAGCAGGGTGACCCATTCGCTCCACTTCTCTTCTGCTTGGCAGTAAGAGAACTAACTTCCAGCCTATGCAGTGAGCTCAATATCTGGTACCTGGATGACGGCACTCTGGCAGGCACTGAAGAGTCCCTCGTGGGGGACCTAAAACTGGTGAAAACACAGGGAAAAGACCTGGGACTCATCCTCAATCCCTCCAAGTGTGAAATCATCACAGCGAACCTGGAAATAATGAATGCTGTGCAAAGAATCCTCCCGGAAGTCTCAACTACCACTCCCTCCAACAGTACCCTCTTGGGAGCACCGCTGGGTCCCCAGGCCATCGACAAATTGAATGACCTGATGAGAATGGAGGAGAGAATAAGCGATCTTGATGCCCATGATGCTCTGTATCTCCTCACAAGGTGTCTTACTATGCCAAGACTCACTTCCTGAGGTGTGCACCCTCTTTTGACAACCCAACACTCGATGAATATGACGCACACCTGAGATCAACTTTTAAGAAGGCACTGAACCTGTCACTAGAGGATGAGCAATGGGATCAGGCAACCCTCCCAGTGCGACTGGGAGGTATATAGGTGCGTAAAGCAACGCATGTTGGTTTACCTGCTTTTCTGTCTTCGTGTTTGGCTTCCAGTGCATTAGTCAATAAAATAGTTCCCGAACGCTTGAGAGACGTGGTAGGAGCTCAAGACCCCAGGTTTACTGAAGCAGCGATTCGGTGGGACACCCTTACAGTCTCCTCCAGTAGACCAGCTCCTCCCAAAGAGCACAGACAGTCCCACTGGGACAAACCGATCATGGAAAAAATCGAAAATCGCCAACACAATGCTCTCCAATGCTTCAGGAAAGGACAAAGCTCGTCTCCTGGCAGTGAAGACACAACACTCAGGAGATTTCCTGTTAGCTGTTCCCAGTTCCTCCCTGGGCACCCGTCTCGACCCACAGGCCATTCGGATTGGTGTTGCTCTTCGCCTAGCCGCCCCCACCCTCACCGAACATAGGTGTATTTGCGGCAGGGCGACAGCTGATCAATTCGGACTTCATGGTCTCGTGTGTCACACAGCAGAAGGGAAGTATGCCAGACATGAGGAGGTCAATGACATCATAAAGAGTAGCCTCGCCATAGCCCGTTGCCCAGCTCAACGGGAACCCCAAGTACAGAGGTCTGATGGAAGTCAAAAGCGTCCTGATGGAGCCACTATGCTACCCTGGAAGGATGGAAAGCAGATTGCCTGGGACTACACCTGTGCCGCCACATTGCCAGACACCTACTTGCCATACTCCGTAGTGGAAGGGGGTGGAGCTGCCAGCCACAGGGAGACCCAGAAGATCCGAAAATATGAAGACCTTCCCCCTTGCTATAACTTCATTCCAATAGGGTCGGAGACCCTTGGAGCATGGGGCAAGTGTGCTCTAAAGTTCCTCAAAGAGCTGGGTGAAAAGCTCATCATAGAAACCAAGGACCACAGGGCGACCAGCTTCCTCTTTCAGAGATTCAGTGTTGCGATCCAGAGAGGAAATGCCTGTAGCATTCTGGGCACGCGGCCCACCGCAGGGGAGCTGGACGAAGTATTCGAGATATAGCTCTGAGTTATCTATGTTGTTTTACTTTCTGTTGTATTTTTGTGAATGTCTGGCCAATGTATTTTGTCTTTAAATAAAACATACTTGAAATATAGGGGGTGGTAGGAGAAAATTCTCAAACAGCTTCAGGGAGAACCTTGAGTTTTCCCTGAAGCAAGTTTATTCTTTTCTCTGAGGATGAGGGTCCCCAGAACAGTTCTAGAGGTGGTACCTAAATAATATATATATATATATATATATATTATATATATATATATATATATATATATATATATATATATATATTATCCCTAGTGATACTGACCATGGAGCCCCAAGCGGAGTAGACGGGTTGTTCTGGGAAGAGCTTGGCGTCGAGGAAGATCCAGGAGCCCCTCCAGACGAAGACCACCAGAGAACCCGTCACCACCACCGTGAACACTGAATCCAGCAGGAAGTACCCACATTGGTCCTTCTGTGGGAAGAGAACGAGAGGATTAGTATAAGCTTTTAACTCTCACACACACATTCACACACAAATTTACAGAGAAAATGGAAAGACTCCGTGTCACTTGATAATGCCAGTGTCATAAGCAACACACAAGATGAGCATCCCTCCCATGTCAACAGTTACACAACATAATCTTTCCTCCCATGTAAACAGCTACTTCCTCAACATAATAATTGCTCCCACCTCTACATCTACACACTCAGCACGATAATCCCTTCCATGGAGTTTACAGTATAATAGTTTTACAACCAGTACAACTCTGACTTGGACATATCAGCGACACCAACTGTGACCCCCACTGTCACATTCCACACCTCCATAAGCTTTCATGATACATTTGTTCTCTTATTTCTCAGTCATATAGTTGATAAACTCAAGGTAAATAGTAATGAATGTCTCTATGAATAAATAATAATATGGTCACAGTTGATGCTACAGTACTGAGTCACCATTGTGCTGGTTTTAAAATCATCCTATTTTCAGGCTTCATAGCTTGGACTTGTTACGTACAAGGACCATAGTTCGAGTTCTCATCCAGTATGTAGCATTCTGTTTATTCACTGACAATCAGTCATTCATTCAAAATATAATGTTAATATTTTGTACTGTACGTATGAGCCTTCAATATGAATATGATTTTCAGTCTTCAAACTAAGTACAGGACGAAAAATAAACCAGAAAGTACACAGAGAAAGACAACAAAACTTTTATAATTAAGAAATAAATACTCATATTCTTTACTACAAAGATAAGTGGAAGCAAAATGCTCGTTTTTTTCATCTACTTTATTGGTAGTATGTACAAGACAGTAAAGCAAAACTACACCTCCGATGTTATATTCTGTCATTCCTCTTTTCCAGTGGTATTCATCACATTACCTTTCTTCTGTGCCTCGTACAGCCACACCAGACAAGGTATCAAAATTTACCTATTAATATTTTATAAAACATCTAAAAAAAAAAACATTTCCCTCTCGCGTAGCTCTTAAAAATAAAAAAAAAAATCTCTCTCACGGTTTACAAAGAAAAATTCTCTGGCCACCTCATAATTCTTAGTATTTAACACATGTAAATTTACTCTTACCTCACAAATATAACAAATATAACTTTGTTCAATATTACTGTCCACAAGTTCATTAAAATCAGCTGAACTCTTCATGTTCTCAGGGACAAACATTGTGATCTTAGCTGATTTTAATGACACAACTAACCCCTTCACACAGTCAAGATAGAACAGACAAACTTTCTCCTCATTGTTTGGGCACCGACTCCAGTGATGATTAACTTTTAGTCAGTTAAAGTTCTGGTAAATATTTATACCTAAAAAAAATTGTTGTCAACTAAATATTACAATAGATACCAGTCAGATCTCTCATCTATTGTTGCTATTTTTCTTCATTGATTCTCGACCATTTCTTATTCTGAAAGTTTAGGTTCCTCTTTCAAGAGCATTGTCATCTGAATTTCTTCTTCAATTTTTTTTTCTGGAAGATTTTTAAGAATGGGGACATAATAGGTTTTCCACGCTATCATTAGATGATTTGTGTTTTCTTGCCTCCTTCAGAAACAATGACTTAACCAAGATTTTCGTGGTCCCTAATGCTTTCTAGAAGATCTTTGATAGTTTGCTTTAAATAGGTTATCTAATCTCCAACTGTATTCCTTTTCAGCAGCTAAATGCAGATCTCTTGAGTGTTCACTTAGTCTCTGTGAGATCATATTCTCTTCCAGGGCATTAATTTATCTATAGCTGCTAAGTAAAATATATTTAGTCTCATCGGATGACGGGTCCAGTATAAATACAGATTCGGAAGGCGGTGATCCACTACTCAACTTATATTAAATAATCCTCAGGTATCCAACTTATATTTACATCGGCATAGTGGCATTTAGCACCATAAAAAATAAATGATTTTGTGATATTATTCCATTAACATTCACATGAAACGCTTCACACTTATTATTGTACAAGATCACCTTGAACAACTGCATTGTCTTCATACAACATTGGAATGTAGCTCATTCTTTCTAGTATTACTGTTCGCAAAAAACTTTTTCATTCGTTCGTGTTGCTTTAATTTATCAGTTTCATTTCATTGGTACGAATTGTGGACTTATTCAGCGATTTAGAAAGTTCTCTGTATTTAAGTGTGTCAAAATCATTCAATATCTTAAAAATTTTAAAGGGATCTCATCATTTTTTTGAGAGAAGAAAAAAAAAGATTTAGTTCATTGAGTCTTTCTTCATAAGATTTAGCTCTGAGTGATGGTACAAATTCGGTAGCTCTTCTTTGTACCCTCCCCAACAAAAATATCTTCTGATAAGTATTTTGGAGACCAAAATTGGACATTATATTCAAAAATAAATTTTCACAAGTGCATTATAGAGAGTCAATATAGTGCCTGGTGTTTTGTGTCCCATGTTTCTAGCTATGAAGCCCAGTACTGTGTTAACTTTGTCGCTCGCGGAGAGGTAATTCTTGGTATATGTGAGGTTGCTGCTAAAGATTACTCAAAGGTCCTTTCCATTTTTTTTCGGTTAATTTATTGTCAAACTTTTGCATTCGCGCTTCAAATTATAACACCCAAAATGAATTATTTCCACTTGTCTTTACTGAAACACATCTTCCATGTTTCCGACCACAGTTCTAACCTGTCTAGATCATTTCGATTACTGTATAAGCAATACACTCTAATGCTTTTCTTTTCACCATTATGGCGGCAACCGAAAATTTTCCTACCTTCGATATTAGCAACATCATTTACGTACATTGTAAAGAGGATTAGACCAAGAACCGATTAAGGGGAACACCAGTCTTGACTCACTACTCTCTGCTTCCTGGCTGAGAACCAGTCACTTACCCAGGCATGAAGTGTCTCCTATACCATGTGCCTATAGTTTGGTTGTCAATCTTCGAAGGAAAAATCTTGATATAGCGTTTCATCCCGGTTTGTATATAATTAAAACAAATTGAGCAAATTAGTCAAGCATGAACGTTTGTTGTGGAAACCATGCTGATTTCCGGTTATTATATTATTTAAAAAAATATTTTCCCTTTGCATAAAACTGACGTTAAGCTGACGGGACAATAGCGGAGAGTAAAATTTGATAGTTTCTAGTCTTGCTTTAAATGACTTGGTAAATATTTCATTACTGGGTAAGCGATTCAGTATCAATATTATTTTACAACCTTGGGAAGTATTTTTTCTGCTCCGCTTAAGTTGATAATATTCAGCTTCTCAAAATCGTGTCATGTTCAGCTGTGAACATGGACCAGCAGACTGTGTTGAGGACGCCATGTTCTTGCTGTTTGTCATTCCGCCGTTATAGCAAGTTGAAGATGGTATCATTGTCTTTACTAATTTCTTCCCTGACGTATTTGAAGAATTCTCTTAGATTTTCTTTGGTGTTTTTCTTAATTCATCTTTCACATTCTTGTTGAACACTTACTAGTATTTATGTAGTTACTATGATCTTCGAGGTTGCTAGTTACTATAAATTTCTTAATGCATTACCAATGATTTCGCTAGTTGTCGCGTCATCAGCCTGGCTTTCTTTGAGCCCTTTTATCACATTTTATTTTCCTTGGTTAATTATCTCTTTTCCTCTATTCTGTCTCTATAACAGTTCGATCCAGTTTACGATCCAGTTTGCTGGCCCACAGAAGGTTCCAACTTCATCCTGTTCACTACTTGTATGTTTCATAACAATAAAATATTTTCAAATGAGCTGATGTAGGTAACAGCTCTTAGCTTGTCAATAAACTTAGGAATCCTTAATTTGTAAATAGCTTGTCAATAAAGCTAGGGATCCTTAACCTAACCTTGTCAAACTCTGTGTAAAAGAAATAGAAAGAGGAAAGGGAAAAGGGTGAGGGAGGAGGAGGATTGGTGAGAAAAAGAGGAAGAAGGGAGAAAAAGGGAGGTCATGAAGAGAAAGAAGGGAGGGAAATTAGGGGAAAGAAAAAAGAATAAATGTTTATTAAGAAGAGGAAAACGAAGGAGTAAGAGAGAAAATAGGAACTAAGAGAGGTTAGGGAGGGAAAGAAGAGGAGGGAAGGAGAAGAAAAGAAGTGGAGGTAGGTTGAGAATATGGACTAAGACGGGAAGAAGAAGGAAGGAAGAGGAAGTAGGGATGGAGAGTAACGGGAAGAGAGGATGAGATAACACAATCACTTACTGTCTTAAGCAAACATCACCGTCAGAAATGTTAAGTTATTATGAAAATATTGTTTCCTCAGACAAGACGCATCATGTATAATTTTTCTTTTATCAACCAAATATCAACTTTTTTCTCGTTTATCATCCTTTCCATAAAAAAGAAACACTTGAGTGTTGATAATTCATACTTAATAAAACTACAACACTCACTCGACCTGTAATACAATCACATGACTAATATGCTGATAATTTTCTCAACACTTCTGGATTTCCGATTTATTTCTGGGCCTTTCCAGCTAGTCTGTCCTTGTGATCTGGAGTTAGAGCTAAGAGTTTGAGGGTGTATGTGTGTGTATGTGTGTGTGTGTGTGTGTGTGTGTGTGTGTGTGTGTGTTATGGGATAGCATAACAGTGTATGTGTAATCGCCTATTTGTACTTACCTATTTGTGGTTCCAAAGGGTCGGGTCATAGCTCCTGGCCCCGCCTCTTCGCTGATCGCTACTAAGTTCACTTTCTTTCTTCTCCATGAGATTTATCTAACCTCTTCTTTAAGCTATCTTTGGCAGAGTGATTCAAAGAAATAGAAACATTTTCACCATCACTCACTCTATCGCTGTCTTGTAAGAGGAGTACCGCTACTACAGTTCGAAACTGCAAAATATCCCCACCCCTCTTTCATAGCCCAGGCACTGTACCTCCCACCTCCAGGTGTCAAGTTTTTCCAACTGGTTTCCCTGAATCCCGTCATAAATGTTACCTTGCTCAAGCTTCAATAGCAGGTCAAGTCATAAAAAACTATTTGA